TGTATCTCAAGATACCGATGATATAGACGGATGATTTCTTGAGCAAAATTGATCAAGAGGTCAAGGACTGTATGATGATGGACAGAAAAATTCGTAATTCTTCCGCTAGGCGGCGCTAGTGAGCATTCGATGTGTATATGTTTGTGCTGCTGTATCTCAAGATCCTGACTATTTAGACGGATGATTTCTTCGGCAAAGTTGATAAGGAGGTCAAGGACTATTGGATGATGGACAGAAAAATTCAGAATTCCCCCGCTAGGTGGCGCTAGTGAGCATTTGAAGTTAATATGTTTGTACTGCTGTATCTCAAGATCCTGACTTTTTAGACGGATGATTTCTTCGGCAAAGTTGATAAGGAGGTCAAGGATCAATCCGGAATTCTCTCGCTAGATGGCGCTAGTGAGCATTTGAAATAAATATGTTAGTGCTACTGTATGTTCATGTATTCTTCTTTGTGTGTGTGTGTGTGTGTGTGTGTGTGTGTGTGTGTGTGTGTGTGTGTGTGTGTGTGTGTGTGTGTGTGTGTGTGTGTGTGTGTGTGTGTGTGTGTGTGTGTGTGTGTGTGTGTGTGTGTGTGTGTGTGTGTGTGTGTGTGTGTGTGTGTGTGTGTGTGTGTGTGTGTGTGTGTGTGTGTGTGTGTGTGTGTGTGTGTGTGTGTGTGTGTGTGTGTGTGTGTGTGTGTGTATGCGCGAGCCACGTGTGTGTGTGTGTGTGTACTTATCCAACGGAACATTCAAATGTCTTCTTCATCGCTCTCCTCGTTAAGTCATCATCTTCTTCGTCACTTTCCTCGATGAGTTCACGATGAGGCAAGCTTTGGGTCAGACCTAGTCAAAGCTTCGGTCATCATGTCGGTCAAATTTTCTTCCAGAGACGTTTTCCGAGCAAGATGTGGCCGAATGAATTTATAAACCTTATGGCAACGTTCACCGGACTGCTCGTCAACAAAGTTCATGGTATAAGGCTGGATGTTTCAATTGAAGGAAAAGAAAACAAAACATTTATGATTGTGATTCGATATACTATTAAATCTAAGCTTACCAATTTTTCAATGGAATTTGCTAGATGCATGTATGGATGGCGGCAGTTTCATTAGGTATGGGAATTCATTGAAAATCTGCTTTTCAAGAGAGTGTTATACAACTCCATAAGTTTGGTAGGATCCAATACTCTAGAAGAAAGCGCCAGGCAACTGATGAGCCGCAGATTTTCCACCAGGTCCTTGTGTACGCCGATGATTTTTGCAAACTTTCCGGGTTCTGCCAATAAACGGCGGGCCATATTGCCGTTATTGCAGCTTCCGGACCCATATCAAAGACAAATCTTCTTCTAATCGCGGTTGATGCTATTGATTATTTAGTAACATGAACAAAAACAGATTTCATCAGTAGTATGTCTTGCTTTTCATTCAAGTTCAATTTAAATTGGTTTGGAATCCGTTGTTTTTTGAAAATTTAGCTCTTCGCAAAACAGGTACAATTTTTCCGAACTGTTAATTTTTTTAATGTTCGGCGGTATCGTATTAAAAACGTTGCTTTGTTAATTTTTGCTGCTTTCTAAAATTAAGCACGCCCAGGGATCCTTACCTCGAATATGCTTTCAAGCCACTCTGCATTTTTCTTGAAAAACCGATCCTTAATGTCGGTTTTTGACCATCGCCGATTAAATTGACCAATCCAGTTTTTAACACCTTGCGCAACAGCCGCAGGTGCTTTCCACAGTGCCCTATACACAAAGTCAAGTAAACGGTTTTTATCTCGACCAGATAATAACCTGATATAATCAGGTCATTACTGTAGTTTATATTTTAATGGATATTAAGAGACCAAACTTGCTTATATGTATAGGAAAAATCCCAATTTATTCACTTATGGTCTGACCCTATTTACACTCAATATGACTACCAATGATATTATTTAAAAATTCTCACGTCATTTGATGTGGCACATGATTGATATTAAAAAAGTCAAATCTGGCCACTTCCCCGGTGCAACCCGGAACATATCCGGATTCAGCAAATCTGGTTCAGGGTACTAGATATCATTGTTATTGAACTTGTTTTTGAATTCTGATGTAATTTATTGTGATGGGTTTTGAACTTACTCATAAGCTGGTTATTTTCCCTGAGACATTAAGAACTTGTTCCGGCCGTATCTCCGGAATTGTATGACCAGTTTTGAAACTATTCCGTAGCGATCTATGTAATCATAATCCCGAGCAAAGTAAAATATCAAATTGATAACAAGTTCTATGACCCGGTCATCACTTTTTGATAATGTCCTGCAAAATACCTCAGCGGCGAAACCTGCCCAAATGTCATGTAAAATTAAGTGCTCCGAGGCTTAAAAGTTCATTACTCAACGAAAAGTACGTTGAATTGAGCTGAACTTTGCGTCTATTATGACTCAATTTTATGTCAAAATTGATGCTCGTATATGCCAGTCTCAGGGCACCTAAATTTACAGGGTGATTCGGAATAACTGTCACTTTTAAAAATTATCATAACGATTGAACGCTTGCATGATTTTTTGATATCAGTATATTCCAGATATACTACATATATAACATTCAACTAAGCATACTTTAATTCAAATCTCTCTCGCTTTACTTTAAATTACCAGCCACATTTGTCTCGAAAATGAACCACAGCTTGCACACACGTTTTAGTTCCAGCCATTTTGGAGTCCTGGCGATGCGTCTAAGCTCTGATATTGGACAGATTTTCCACGCATGGTCGCTTTTTACCTCTTTAACGATGTGAAAAATAAATGTTTAATTCTTTCGAAGAGATTTCAGTTTCTAAAAGATAACACACAAAATTATACAGATTTATGACATGCTTCATTTTCCCGTCCATGGCTGCTTGAAATCGAAAACGAATGAAATTTCAAATCCTACTATTAAAACAAGCTGATATTTGTACACACTTTAAAACAAAAATACTTGAACATATACCCATTTTACCCATTGAGAATTCCATATTTGTGAAATCGGTGACAGTTATTCTGAATCACCCTGTACATGAATTTTTCTAAGTGTGTAGTGGAAAATGCCATACAAATTCCACACAAGTAAATGAAAACTACACACTTAAAAATAACTATTTTTACACGAGACGTAATCCATCTATGACGGAAATTATCGAACGTAAACAAACATGTCATGTAAAATTAAGTGTTCCCAAACAGAAACGTACGCAACTCGAAGAAAATTACGATTGATTGAATTTATTTTCTCGTTTCTTTCAACTGATTCTTATATCATTTGGGCCACTTGCATGTGTCAGTCTCAGGGCACGGAAATTTACATGACTTTTTGGTATAGTGTGTACGTTGTCTCGCTTCACCTACTTTTTGGTTCCTGCACCATAAGCCCGGGATTAGTGAGACGAACTTTGTGTTGGGTTCTTTTTTCTTACCGGATACGTTGGATTGGACCTGCAAAACACATCACGTTCGATCAAACTGACTGACTACACCGTTTGAAAAATTCATTTAAATTTCTGCGAGATATAGCGCACATAAAATTAACGCTAGATTTGGCATAATTTTACGCGATATTTCGTGTAAATTTAAGCGCAATATTGCATAAATTAGCAATATTGTATTCAAGTTTGTAAACGATTCCACTGTTTATGCCAAGTATAGCTCAAAATTAATCGAAAAGAGATTTTACGCGATAGTTAAAATTCAGAATTATTTATAACAAGCAGATAAATAAAAACCGCAGTAGAGTAGATGTTTGCATATTGTTTGGCTTATTAATGTCATGCCGAGTTCTTATATGTCATCATTGCATGACATTTGACGAGTTTAGTCACGTTAGCTCCGTAAATATTAATATTTTCATAGATTTCTTGAGTTCTAAAACGGTATGAAACATCCATTTCCGACTTCTACAAGTTACGCTATTTCCGGAAATATCCATATTGTATGGTATTTGCAGATTCAAATTATTCTAGTACATCGGAAGTCGTTAACTTGTATTCCAAAATGGCGTCGAACATCCATTTCTGGCATCTACATTCCACACCGGTTCCTGAAATATCCATATTGTATGGCATTTGACGAGTATTTATAGAGTTCTAGCATATCGGAAGTCGCCATCTTGGATTTAAAAATGGTATCGAACATCCATTTCTGGCATCTACATTCCACACCGGTTCCGGAAATATCAATATTGTATGGTATTTGTCCAGTATTCATAGTATTCTAGAATATCCGAAGTCGCCATCTTGGATTCCAAAATGGCGTCGAACATACATTTCTGGCATCTGCATTCCGCACAGGTTCCGGAAATACCCATATTGCATAAAGTTTGACGAGTTTTCACAGTTTTATAGCAAACATAGGTCGCCATGTTGAATTCTAAAATGTCGTCGAACATCCATTTCCTGCATCTACATGTCACACCGGTTCCAAAAATACTCATATTGTGTGGTATTTGACAAGTTTAATTGTTTGCCTAATCGTGCGGGAGTCCTTCATTTACGCGAAATCCGCGTCGTGGATCGCTGTTTTCCAACGCTCAACCCGCGCTAATATGACTGCCGATATAGAAAAAAGATATCATCGAGATGAATCGTATCATACGTATATATTCCAAGCGCTGCGATCTCACATTGGAAAGGAAAATAATGTGTGTGCGAAATGCTTCCATCTGAATTTACAGCTCCCGGAGTTGGCAATCAACTTGACCAGAGCAGAAGGAATGAATTTAAAAATCGGCATCTGCAAAGCAACTGCACAAAGCACAATGTAACGTAGAAATGAAATCTGACTGTTTTTAGATCCCGTTCAGTGTGACTGTTTTTTCATCAAGTGAATGCCGATCACTGCGAATGATGAATGCGAATAATGTATAAGTTCATGCAGTCACAGGCAGAATGCGTTCCTTGTTCAAGCCCTGATCCTAACTCATTTTTTCCTTTTTTTCAAGATCATCTTCGGTGGACAAAGCCAAAAAGTGAAAAGGACAAAGTCATGCTTTCTCGAACTTACCTTTCAACCCCGAGGGCAACGCAGTTCCAACCGATGACGATGACGTCGACGAGGAACTCGTTCCGTGTCTCAAAAGTACTGCGGCTCGGTCCAAATTGACAGCTGCTGTGTACGAAGACGTCGTCGACGTTCCACTGCCTAGTGCCGATTGACCACTTCGTAGATTACCACCGGTGGTCGTCGATGAGCTGACTGCACTCTCACTTCCCGGACTCGGTCTTCTACTGCTGTGCGCTGCTCCCGAACGGTGACTGGAACTGACCGCCGACGATGGCTGGCGATGATGGAAAGACTGTTGACGAGGATCGGAGGAACTGCGACTTGTGCTGCTGCTGACGGTCGATACGGAAACAACGGTGGACTCTCTTCGCATAACAGAAACGGATGCCGGAGGTTGTCTTTTGCTCAGCGACACCGGCGAACAATCCATACGAGAACGAAGATCTTCAGCACCGGCGGATCGTGGGTCGTCTCGGATCTGCACCTCAGACCGGTGGTGCATATCAGACGGTTGATGCTGGCAATCTGCGACGTCCTACATTTCCAGCAGACTTTCGACAGTTGATCTGGAAATTAAAGGAGGAAAAACTCTTTAAGAATTCTAAGAATCGATTAATAAACTTCCCATCACCCAGCTAATCCCACGAATCAACCCGCCCAATTCCAGATCCATTAATTCAAACTTTCCATTGCAGAACTCCACCCCCACGCCCTCACCAAAAACTGAGTTTTAATTCTTAAAACCCCAAAAATCGATTTTTACCCTCCACACTATAGCAACGACCGACTTTAAGCCCATGTTGATACCCTCTTCATCCCGCCATTTCCACACCCCATTAAAATCTCTACCGAACGATAATGACATTTACGCCGAACTGTCTCATGTTGTTGTTGTCGAGGGCGACGCTGTTAAATTGAACTCCTCCTCGAAATGGGCAGCGCAGCTTCGCATCCCGAGCAAACAAAAGCCAACCGCTTCCAGTTCGTTTTTTTTTTGTTCCTGCAGAAATCAAGAATCCCTACGGGACCACTACTATCCAAGCCCGGATGGTTCCTGACCATACTCAAATGGTAGCAAACCACCGACCGACGGCATCACATGTGTGCCGACGGAGGGTTTCCTTTGCATACACTTTCATAGTAGATGGGTACCTTACCGATGTTCTAATCCCCTTTTAACCCTTCGTTTTTTCCTTCATTTAAGGTTCTGTGAGCGGAGCAGCGGTCGGGTTTCGAAGAAATTATACGCATTATTATGATAATAATCAAATTTGAAAGGGTAAAAACAAAAGAAATCGATGCCTGCCCGCTCTGCGTCGCTGCTGGCTGGTTGATGCGGCGGAGGGTGTTTTTACCTTCGATACGTAATGGTTGGTGGTGGTTCATCGGATGCGTATGAGTAGACGACGTGTGCAGGTCGGCAGAGATGGTGCAGTGATGTCTGCGTGTTGATTAGGAAAAGTCGGGAAGGGTCCGCTGGAAGGTGGAGGTGATTTTAATGTCGACACTAGATAGGATAGGGAACTTCTTCGGCATAAGCACCTATTTCCGTCAAATGGAGCAGAAGCATCAAATATATCAATGGTTTTGACTTGAAAGGAAAGTTTGCATCAAAAAGTACAAAACAATGTATGTATAAGAAGGCAGAGTATGAATATTGACAGCCATTTTTTTCAAAAATAAAAGAAACGCTGCTAGCGAACCCATTTCGTATGCCTTCGTTCGTATGCCGAAGTGCATTCACTGTATTTGGACGAAGTTGAAGCTCGTATGACTGAAATAGAATCAAGAAGTAGAGTTAGATTTTAAATCCAATTTAAATGAATTTGAAATCATCTTTTATAAAAAAAACATTAATTTTTGTGTTCAAACTAGTTCGAAAAAGAGAGTTGAAATTCGGCTTGTGCTTAGTATGACGAAAATTAGATCTTAACCCTCGGTACCCTTCGATTTGGATACAACCCTTTGCTCGTATGCGTGTACGCACATTTCATCTGGACAAAGTTGTTGGTTTTAAAGATTTGAAACCTGGTTCGAGGGATTCTTGTGCCTGTAGGTACTTTCAGTTTGACAGGAAGAGTGAGTGTGAAGCACTTGTGATGTTCCTCGGTCGGAAATGGGGAATTGATTAATTATGCGTATTTGTGCGTGTGCTACCCTCTTCAATTTGTATGGGTAATGGAAATTAATGGATTCTGGACATGAATGTATGAGGACTGAATGCTTTAGCTTTCTTCTTGCTCTTGGATTTTTACACTTCCTATGCGAGCATTTTTTCGGCTACCAACTGAGTCTTCTTTGAAGCAATTGACCACTTTGTCAAGCAGTTTTGGTGTGACTTTCTACCAGCGATTTCACAAAACTGGACCAACTAATTTCTATTTTTTTTTGTGAAACGCACAAATGTTGGCTATTTTTTTCGAGGTTCTAGAGGAAAAATCTCAAAATAATGTTTCATTTAAAAGTTCGAGTGGTAGTAAACGTCATTTTATCTGCTCGAATGAAGTGGTTAGTTCCACAGATATTAATTGAGAGAGTAAAGGGCTGAACACAATGACAGCGACATAGCGACACAGCGGCACAGCGTCAAACGCGCAATGTACTAAAATCGTGCTAACCGCTGTACCGCTGCTGCGTTGCCGCATTCCTACCCACAATGCATGCCCTCAAAATCTATTTATTTTTTCCTCTTCCGCTGCATGCTGTTCGTAAACAAACCACGTTAACGGGATTATTTTGATTGCAGTTTTGAGTTATTTGTTATTTGCATAATCTCTGAAAGATCAGTAGAAGGTCTTCTGTATAATTAATCAATCTGAAACATCCGTCTGTAAACATATCCAAGGGGCTTTGAAATTCTCCGAAGTTCAGTGATTGTCTCTGAATTTGCATTAACTTTAAAAACTACAAGGGACAGCTCTATGGGGTTGTACGCAATGGTGACGTAGGACTACGTGGTCTTATATAATAAATGGTAATGTGTATCTTTATTGAGCCAGGTATTAATCGGAACCATATTTTAATTATTTTCCTTGCCTCATTTTTATGTTTTGATTTTCTGTTTTTTTTCACTATCGTACAGATTTGTCGTACAAGCAGAAGCAATACTTTTGTGCGCGGAATCTGACGAAATATTGCTTGGAGCCAATGCCCATGATTGTGCTGGGTAATTTTAACATGGACCTCATGAACGAAGGGAACTTGAAGTTCGTCGAGTTCATGAAGAAATATTTGCACCTGAGCATGGACCGTGAGTGGACTTAATTTTTGTTCACAACGTCCGCCTTGACAGTAAAAAGTAGAACTCTTACACGTTAAACCATCGCCCAGTTTTGTCACTTTTCGAGTTCTAGGCTCTTAACTCAGGGCGTTTATCATCGTTGCCAATCTGCACCGTGCCGGAGTGTGAGCCAACAGCAAAGCCATGCTGTGTGCATCAGAACTCATCTGACAAATCAAACGGCCCTTTTCAGGGTCACAAACATTTTCTGGCTATTTTAATTTCTATCTTCTCAATGCAATAAGGCAGTTCTGTGTCAACCATATAAGATCACCATAAATACTTATTTGTACGGCTACGCTGGACACGGGTTGACCCCCACTAGCACAGCACTAGCCTTCAACAATACGATAAATGGGCACTCAGAGAGCTACCGTTTTGCTGGTTCCAGGAATTTCATTCATGCCAAGATTAGTAGAATTCCTAAACAATCTCTTTTGAAATAAGTTGGTGGCCCTGAACAGGGCCGTTTCGGATAGGGAAAATGAACGAAGATTAACCTCAGATGCGCCCCTGACGCTTCAGGTAACAGCGCCACGAATGACGATTTCCTGCATCACCTTACCTTGAGCACACCCGGGTTTTAGATTTGACCAGAGAAACGCTTGACATCACCACGACGAACCAGACGACGGACGGCGGACTTTGTAATACCCTGTAAGTTATCATGCAACACAACTGGCTCCTCCTTTGCCTCACTTGCCACGTCCAGTCATTGTTTATGCTGTTGATGTTTCTTCGTGTAAGGTTGAAACGCATGTGACAAGAAATTAGTAGTAAAATTCTTTTTTATTTTGATTTGTTATGTGGTTTACAATTGCTAATACAGGGCAAGAGGTCAGCCAGAAAGGCTCTTCATCTTTTGTGAACTTTTTGATTTTGTATTGTACATGTTGTGTTTTACTGTGTAATATTTTTCAATTTTCTTCTGGTGAAGTATGTTGTTTGAATGTTTTAATTTGTTATTCCACCTACTTAACATAACGTGCCAGATCCCTGACGATCTGTTGATCGGATCGCCTACAGCAATCTCTGAACCTTGCGATGGAGTCAGCTCTCCGTAACTCCAGTGTCTGAAGACCAGCCAGGTGGTGGACCTCAGAATTTCTAGTCCGCGGGGGACTGTTTAGGATGATCCTAAGGATCTTGTTTTGGATCCTTTGGAGTTTGAGGTGATGGCATTTGGCGCAACTCTCCCAGATTGGCATCGCGTATTCTATTACGGGAAGAATGATTTGTTTGTAGACAGCAAGCTTATTTTTCAGGGACAGGGTAGACCTCCTGTTGATGAGTGGATACAACGATCTTATCAAGATGTTGCACTTGGTTTTGGTTTTGACAACGTGCTCCCTGAAAAGAAGCTTGCTGTCTAGTGTTAGCCCGAGGTACATGACCTCTTTGGACCATTGCACCACTGAGCCGTTTAAGCAGATCTTATTATTCTCAGACGGAACAATTCTAGGAAATTTTGAGTGTGGAAAGATGATCACCTGGGTCTTTGCCGCGTTGATACGGATCTTCCAGCTGTTGAAATATTCAGACAGGACGTCCAGGCCTCTCTGAAGTTTGGCAATCAGAGCTCCGATGACCCTACCCTTTTAGACGATGGATGTGTCATCTGCGAACAGAGACAACGATCCACCATCAGGGAGACCCGGCATATCGGTGGTGAACAGCACATATACTATGATACAAGAGCAATAGTTTGTATGGTTTAGCTCGATTTGTGTACATTTGTTACTTAGGACCTATTATTGTTTACCATTCGGTAGCGCTGCATTCAAGCAGTTGCTGAAAGTTGAAACAGATTCGCGGAAAAAAACAGGCAAAGGAGCGGGACAATGTAACTAATCGGCTGCAAAAGACAGCTTCGATCTTCCAAGTGTGACAGAATCTGACCAGTACCTATATATTAATATCAACAAAACCGTCAAGCGGCTTGATCCGTCAGAGAAGTTGATCAAGTTTGTCCACCGGATCAATGCATCGAGCAAGTCAGATCTAATCATCAATGGCCACTATCTGCAGAACCATGGTGGGTATATACATGGTGATACAGCTTTGTCACTATATAGACGAGGAGGACGAGAGGGGAAATGACGATTTTAGAGCAAATTGTAAACAAACTCGGTCGCTGTCCCATTCAAAAATCCTAAGAGAAGAGGTGACAATACGGGGGCGAAAATGAACCACTTTTCTGTCAAACGTGAACCAGCTCCTGATTGGCCGATTTCATGTGCGTAAGATAGAGATAGAGGGATAAAGATAGAGATAGAGATAGAAATC